CTAAGCGCTGTACCACTGTACTACCAAATGAAGTTTGCCAAAATTAACGGTTTTTGTCACTTTTCACGTGAGCATTCAGAAAAAAGTTTAAGCCATATTACAATGAAATTTAGCGTAACTCTTTCGACCATAATTACAAACTGATGTAAAAAGTTTCAAATAAAATGACCGAGTAGGCGCCCAAAACTTCGCGACTGAAGTGCTTCCGCAAAGTCAATATTTCTAAAGTAAATATCTGTCAAAATAAAATAAAAAACGAAAAAAGGGCCTCCGTTGACAATGAACGCACTCTTCTTCTATAACATTCTAAAATTTGAAAGAAATCGCTCCAATAGTGCACCCTGTACCACTGTACTACGAAACCATGTTTTGCCGAAAAGGTCAATGTTCGCGGGTGCCCTCTGAATTATCTTTTTGCACTAGGAAAACAAATCCTACATCAGATAAAAGATAATGTTGTACACTACAAGATGATATATAACACATAATTTTAGCAAGCTTGAACACGCCACGATCGCATTTCGAAAACGTGCTGAAAGCGTCATATGTCATGGCCGCCGTGGGACCGCAGCCTTAAGTTCACAAAACTGCTCTGATGATGTAACTGTGTTTGGGACTCCGAGGGTCTGCCTGCATGATCCGCCGGATCCGCCGCTTGCGGCAGCCAGAATGTATGAGAAAATGGCGGACCTTTTCCTCTAGAGTTAGTATGTATGATCTCTATGATTCGTGATGACAAGTTGGCTAAAGCCAAGACGAGCACAGTTCAAAAAATGGCGGCTTCCAGGGTTATGACGGCGGCTGCTTTGGCGGCGTCGTGAGTGCGACGTCGGCGGCATCCTCGCGACTGAGATTTTCAATGCGGGACGACATTGTACATGGTTTGGCAACGACCCCCGGCAACTTCATGCTTGCGACGCGCGAACATTTCTCGGCGAAGGTACGATGTGCGAAGGTCAGTACACGAGACCTCTCTTGCCGAGGCGACGCAAGCGGACACGACTTGTCAACCGCTCGCGTCGCATTCTCATGTTTAAACAATTCTAAAATAGTACTCTGAACCAAAAAAACTTTTTTTTTTTTTCTAGAGTTACAGCATTTCATGTGTGAAATAAAAATTGTGCAAGCGCGAGCTACTTGGGCTTTTGCGTCGCGGAGTAGAAATTGCGCTATAATTGCGTACGTTATTCTAAAACTCCCTAGTAATTACTAGGGGTGTCGCGAACTTTTGTCGAACCAGATTTTTAGGTCGAACTTTCGGGGTTCGACTGGGTCGAACCGGTTCGACGAACCTTCGAACTTTTCAACAGATTCGACTGGTTCGACTTTGTGGACAGTGTGGCCAGACCTTGATACAAGCATGTCTAGGTTTGGAGGATGTTTTTTTAAGAAAAGGGTTATTTTATTTTATAAACGGTTGCAATTAAAAGAAACTAATTCTAATCACTGAAGAGGTTAATAACTTAATTTTTTTGTACTGTATTAAGTGAAATAACCAATCAGCGCTGCCCTTAATTTATCCCATAGCCATTACCATCCAATCCAAAGCCAACTGGCCAGCCTGTCGCGCATGCGCACACGAGTCGAACCTCAATACAAGGTTCGTCGAATTTTCCACTAAACGTTCGAAAAAGTCGAACCTGGTCGAACTCGAACCTCGGCCGATTCGCGACACCTCTAGTAATTACGCCCTTTCCGCACGAATGGGACTAAAGCCTGGTTCACATGCAGCGGTTTTGGCCCTAGAGAGGCGCGATTTCTGCCGTCGCGGCGCTCTTGCCAGCACCAACCAGCGGTTGAGCGGCACGAGCGCCGCGACGGCAGAAATCGCGCTTCGGGATCTCAGAGGCCATGGGGGAGGCATAGCCTCCGAGATCCCGAAGCGCGCGCGCGAAGGCTTCTCCGGCCGTCTCATTCGTCTCGCTCCTCAGCAGAAGATTGTAATTGCGCTAACTCGGTCGCTCGCCGCGAGGCGGCGCTGTCTGCCCAGTCATAACAGAGGGCGAGCCAACAGCGCAGGTAGAGATCTGCACTGGTACGGGCCCGACCGCGGGCCACGGGCCGGCCCGGCCCTCGGGCCGAGCTCAGGCTTCACGTCAACATTCATGAAGGGCCCGGGCCGGGTACGTGCCTTGCATTCACGTCTACAAGGGGGGCCAAAGCAAGCCAAACCGGCCATCTTTTTTTTTTTAACGGCTTGTTTTTTGGATTTATGTTCAGGGGTTGGGAGAGGAACCACAGTGGGGGATAAACAGATGCTGAAGCATGTGTATGTGGGTATGTGTTTTTGTATGGTTCGGTGTGTGCAGCGAATGTTCTTCCAGAGGACTAGCGGCGCGGCGTTCCTTTTTGTCCCCGGCGGTGCCGCCGCTATCATACAATCGCTTCTCACCACAAACACGCACATAAACGCGCCTATACAATGCGTACTCTCGCCGGCGTAAACCATCTGTACGCACGAGCGCTTGCATCCCCAATAGGGGTGAAGGGGTTCCCCGGAGGAGTACTTTTCCTGAACAATTTCTCGCAGAGCATCGCAAAAAAAAACATTACTGCTGTTTGTTTTTTTTGTTTTGTTTTTTTTACGGTTGTGTGCAGCAGGGAAATTAGCTAATTTAGAATTTTGCCAGTCTTCTTACAAACCCGTCGCGATATGTCCCTTTCCGACAGTGACACGTGGTTTTGTTTACTTCTGCTTGTCATTTTTATTTTTCCGCCCTTTCCGCGCGTGTTTGGTGCAGAACAGGAAGATCGGGTGATTTTTGTTAACATGCTGCCTAGGCCTGCAGACTTGTCGAACTAATAAGAGCAGCAAAAAAAAAATGCTTACAGTATTTACTATTGGGTATCGTAATCAACGTATGTGTAGCAGTTGCAAGCGAGCTGCCATGCCGCCCAATTTGTGAGCTATTTATTCATACTGGGCTAAAATAAAGCGCAGCTGGCCCGTGAAAATTAGCTTCGGGTCGGGCAGCGCCGGCTGTCGGAAATGAATATCGGATAAACCAGAGTTCTTTTTCTTGAGACCCCATTGTTTGTTTGCATATCAATTAAATTACATCACAAAGTGCATTACGGGATACGGTGGTCTGTGCTGCATGTGGCAAAAACTAGATGTTTACAAGATAACGCCCCAGCTTTTCAATCAGTACCTACAATTATAACAAAGTTTATAGAAACAAAAATGGCGAAATCATTGCGAGGTGGTTGTACTTCACCGCCATAAAGGCCCATACGCACATTCGCGTTTGAGCGCGGTGCGTTCCGTAGCGGCAAGCGGACGCGTTGCGTTGCGAAGACCGCTTACGCCAAGCTTGTAAGTACGCACAGTTGCGTTGACACGCAGTCAACCGCAGTCAAGAGCCAATAAGAACGCGCTATCGTCGCTAGTGGCTCCAAGGCAACATGGCGGCGCACGGCGACGGCGTCGGTGTTCGATCTTGGGACAATCTCGCCGGCTTCCCCGACGTTTTGTCAGGCTTGAACCATCGCAGCCTTGGAAAATACAGTCCCCACCGCTCCCCAAAACGAAAAAGCAAGCAAGCACTGCGAACGGCGAACCGGATACGTCTCGCCGAGTCGGCCGGGTGGGGCGAGCGAACACGTCATCCCCTCTCCTCTTTCGACTTCTGATTGGTCGAACGCACCCGAACGCACCGCAACGCTTCGGAAAGTTGAGCGAGTCTCTCTCTACTCGCTTGCGTCGCGCTACCGAGCGTTGCGGGAAGGCGCGCGTCGCTCTGCAAGCGACCGCGCCTGGCCGCAAGGACTCCGCAACGCACTCAAACGCGTTCAAACGCGAATGTGCGTATGGCCCTTAAGTTTTTCCCAAAGCCGGGGTCACACTGTTTGTACATCATATAGGGAGTATCCACGGGACGCCATATTTGTGGGTGCTGTTTAGAGCGCATGCTCAGAACGAGCTCACATCAATAGGTTGCTATGACAGGCGCTCTTGATGGTGCGGAATGCACTTGGCAAAAGAACTGTGGAAGCTCGCCATCAGCACGCGCTCAGCATTCGCGCACACAGCTATGGCCGCCAGTGAATACTCCCTATAAAGGACAGTCTGCAAACAGATTCAAGCTCGAGTCACCACGAGATCTGAGCTTCGAATGCCGCAAGGTAACGAGTTCAAGGGACACTTGGCACGCGGCATTTGAACCATAGATATTGTGGTGACTGATATCTGCAGACTGTCTTTTGTATAACGCATAAGTAGTGTGATCCCGGCTTAAAGGTACTTCTAGTAGAAGCAAACACCGCAAAATGACCCGCAAAAGTTGGGTAATAAATATTAAAAATATTAAAAGGACAACACGGACTTCACTATACAGTATCAAACCTCGTGAGGCTCAAAAAGCTACGCCAAACAATGTGCGAAGGTAAAAAAAAATAATATATATATATATATATATATATATATATATATATATATATATATATATATATATTGCAGCATGAATATTTTTATATAGGGAAATACTCTTTTTTTTATACGGAGCTCTTCTTTTTAGTTTTATACGTGCTACAGATTGCAATCAAATATATCAAAAGGCGCGCTTGTAGCGCTAGCCGCAACATGTCCAGATGAATATCTCGAATTAAATATTTAAGTAAGCATTACAAATTTTCCATTTACATCCCCAGAGCAGCTGTTCACCGTTCTACCACAATCCACAAAAATTTGTGAGTATAAGTTGCAGTAACTTGACGTAACAAGACTTTTACTTGAACTCTTCAGCCTCGCGCCATGCTGTCGATGACTGGGTTGGGAGCGCCTCCCCGCGGAGACACGTCGCCTCCTTCTCTTTTTTCGATTACGTCCTCTCCGCACGAATGGGACGGCCGGAGAAGCGTTCGCGCTGGTTTGCGCGCTTCGGGATCTCGGAGGCCATGGGGGAGGAATATTGCTTTGGTTTCTAGGCTAGGTGGCGCAAGCTACCCCCCGTTATAAAGGGTACAGCCATTAGTATCTATCTAACCATACATCTAAACTTAGGGATTTCACGGGATTGCAGATTGCAACACTTCGCACCCAGACACAGCGTCCGCGCTCTTCCCTACTGGCTGTCCGTTTGGGATGGTGGACGACCCAGTGGGCGGCAGCGACCTGTTTGCGTTGTAAGCCGCGCACCGCAGCACTGGGTAATTTACTGGGCGGCAGCTGGAACGGCGACCAAGCCGGCGCGATGTCCAAGCCCAAGCGCTACTTCGCCAACAACCTGCCGGACTACGACGGCAGCCCGATTCCCCTGGAGCGCGAGCTCTGGGTCGAGCGGTGCCGCGACACCGTGCAGCGGGTCTTCGCGCACCAGGGCACGGCCTTCGACGACTGCGAGGGCGGCCTGTACGTGGGCGTCGCGGGCGTCGCCTACATGGCGCTTCGCATCGCCCAGAGCCCCCATTTCGCGGCCGACAAGGGCCGGCTGCTGGCCCGGGCCCAAGGTTACATGGCGCACGCCCTGAGCTACGCTGATCACCCGAGCGTGCGCGGGGACCGCTCGGTCCAGGCCGCCTTCCTGCTGGGCAACGCTGGCGTCTGGGCGCTGGCCGCCGTCGTGGCCAACCAGGCCGCCCGGCAGGACGACTGCGACAACTACGTAGCCAGGTAGGACGCCTCTTCGCTGCTCGGGGGCTCAAGCGGTCGGGGTTCATGGCCGGCGGCGCTGGCGTATTGCCGACGTCCGCTACCAAAAGTGTCACTGTGAACGGCCGTCCGCGGTTTACCAAACGCTGCCTGTTACCTCTTTAGTGCGATTAATGCTGCTTTCATTGAAGAAATGAGATTAATGTCAACGAAGAAATGCTCAGTGCCCGCGAGCTGGTGCATATTGAACATGATGGCAAAACCCCGAGACTGGGTTGGGGAAGAGAAAAAAAGTGGGACAGACAGCACGTGACTCAAACTCGGCTACAAACTTTATATCGTCCACTTCACAGTGGTTCCAAAGTTGCCACAGACAGAACCTTCATTTACGATAAGGAAGGAGGGACATTTAAGACAAACTGGCAAAGCCTGTCTTGTCTGTTTGTCTTAAATGTACCTCTTTCCTTATCGTAAATTATTAACCAACACGCTCAACTATCTACAGAACCTTCCCCTTTATAACTATACTCCGTTTCACTATCACTAGTTGAGTGCAGTACAGACGAAGGCAATGCCAGACGAGGGGATAAAGCTCAAGAACTAGGAAGGCTTTGGAGGGGGAGAGAAACCTCCTCTCCTCTCTAACTTACCTATAGTCGGTGACAGGTGAAGAACGAAGTGGGAGCTCCTCCCACCTCTTTCCACTTTAGTAGAGTGAATGGGAAGGGGTAGAGCAAAGTGGAAAGGGGTGGGAGGAGCTTCCACTTCGTTCTTGACCTGTCGCCGACTATAGTGCTCTCCCTTTCTCCCCTCGCCCTCCATTGCCTTCTTCTCCCGTCCTGCCTTCCTAGCGCTTGTCGTTTCTCTCTTTGCCTGGCGTTGCTTTGCCTGCACTGCACAGATCTAGTGACACAGAGTATAATGGCAACCAGGTCCGAGATAGAGCACGCAAACCGAACAGTCTCTCCCCGCCTCCGGATCCCTAGTGAAACATGACCACTCCTCCGGGATCAGTGGATGTCTTCCTGTTATTCACCTTTCCGGACATCCCCGTCCCACGCTCCTGGATCTCAAAGTACATATTTTCGCGATTGCGGTGCTGACAACACGTGTTCAACGCACGAGCAAATAGAGCACTGCATGGGCCCGGGCCAGCCTGAAAAACATGAGCCCGGCCCAGCCCGCGGGCCGGGCTCGGGCCGGGTAGCACGTATTTTCTCGGGCCCGGGCTGGGCTCGGGCTTGAACAAAATATTTTCCGGGCCGTGGCTGAGCAGTCTTGTGCCACAAATTTTACATTGTTGATAACAAAAAAGGGGCTCATTTATCTTCTCGGCTCAATGAAAACAAACAAGCGAAATGCAAAATTACTAAGCTGCTGTTCAAAAAAAAAAAAAAAGACGTCTTGCATTTGGAAAGCTTTCACGTGGATAAAAGGAAACGTATGGATTCTTCCACCATAGTGGGAAAGTACGGTCAAGAAACCGAGGGCACTCCAGTCGCAGGGTACAACATGAGTGTATTTTTCCTCTGCGTTTCAAACTGAACACAAGAAAAACAACGTGAGCTTGATTTTGCTTTTGTGCAGGAAGCCTTATTATGCCGCCAAAGATAAGCTAACTAGATATTTTTATGCTTATACAGCTTTTTGAATATGCACTAGCGTGATTCTGATTATTTCTTCACAAAAACATGTAGAGAGGAAAGTTCTCTGAAATGAATTGAACAACGAAAAGCCCAATATCTCTTGAAGAAATGCATAAATGAAGAATACGGCACTTTTTTTTTAAAAATCACTTATACACTGCATATTTCGCCAATATTCTCGAAAATGCACCAAGTCGGGATATTTATTGTGTCAAAAAATCTCGATCCAAGTCCAAAAGAAATTTAAATCAAATACAGTATGCCCGCTTTATGCTTAGACAGTCTTTAGGTTAAAGCCTGCAAACTTTTTTGGACTCATGAATATAAATTGTCGGGCTCGGGCCGGACTCAAGGCCCGTTCACACTCTTGCGACCGAGTACGACTGAGAGAGACGAGATCTCTTAAAACTTCTTAAATGTTTTTAGAATGAGGGAACACACTGGCATTGTGGCGCCATCTATGCGGTGACTCTGGAACTGCATTTTACAAGAGCGAAGGTTTTGCGGGATTTCCGAGGTCAAATGTGCGTAATACCCATAGAAAGGCTCGTTTATAACATTGACAAAAGTTTTTCCAGCCAAGAAAGAAAGGATAATGCGCGAGAGATAAAAAAAAAATATGCCGGACCGCCGAGTTTACACTGCTTCCCAATAGATGGCGCCAGTGTGTTCTCTGGTTTAAGAGGTCGCAAGAGTGTGAACGGGCCTTCAGGCTTATATTTAAAACATTTTTGTCAAGCTCGGGCCGGGCTCTAACTTCTGTCTAAAAATTCTGCCGGGCCTGGGCCGGGCCCGGGCTATGTCTCTTCCCGGCCGGGTCGGGCTGGGCCTAAAAATTAAATATTCTGTCGGGCTCGGGCCTGGCCCGGGTTGTGCCTCTGCCGGGCCGGGTTGGGCCGGGCCTAGAAAATCCGGCCCATGCAGGGCTCTACGAGCAAAGTTAATCATGATCTGAAAGATGAGTGTTGATAAGCGATGTGCATGAGCATAACCACTTGCCTCTTCATTGGAATACTCGTGAACGGTGTCCAAGGACGTCTCGATTTTCATCCTTTTCTGCGGAGGTCGGAAAAGGAAGTTGAATTCATGCGGGACATACAAACAATCCTCGGCGTCGCTGCTGCTGGACGACTGCTGCTGGAGGAGCTGCTCGAGCAACTTGACGACGAAGTGTCATCAAGTAGCAACTGCAGCAAAGTGGGCGGCACCTCACAAGCGGCCATTATGATTTCCTCCGAGGCGAGATGCCCGACGAGAAAGGAAGTCAGTTGTGTGCACTGAGGGCTGGCTGGGCTGACTTCCGGTCGAATCCGCCGAAATCGGCGGAGCGACTTTTCTCGTATCTGGAGTGGGAGCTGATCCAAAACGACGAGTGGAACAAGTCTGTCTCGATCCCGATCGCCCAGTCAAATAAGTGCGCTCCAGAAAAGTTGATACTGGCACGCTCCAATACGACCAGTGAAATTCGCCATAAAAAAAGAGGAAGGGCTGCCTCTTAGCGCCTTATTCTACACTTTTCAAACCCAAGGCCTCCAACAAAAGTCTGAACAAAAGACTCACTGCAATAGACAACACAAGAGCCAAGTATAGATAACTAAAAAGGAGTACAAACTTCTAAAAGACAAAAGAATAACCTCCGGTTTAAACTCTGGCACGTCTCGGAACAGAAAACTGCCCATGGATAATAGAAGCTTTCTAGAACCACCCACTTTGGATCTGTTCTCTCATTGTTGTAACTTGTTTTCACCCAGTCTCGGGGTTTACCATCATGTTCTGTAGTGTCAAACTGTCAACTTTCATGGTGTTATTTTAAGAATGTGTTCACTCAAAGCTTCCACAGTACTTTTTACACGCACCATTGAGCTTCTCGTTTGCAGCTGATAATCGTGTTTGTGATGTTGTGGTTAGGAACTCAAAGTGGGGTGCCAATGAAGCATCTTGTCCCCAATTGCCAGTTCTGAGCCTACTCTTGGCTGTACACTACGAGCAGCACAACAGTCAACACTTCAACCTTCTGTAGAAAGTATTGACCAACCAAACTGATATAGGATACCCGCCATTTAATCTCACCCGAGACAAGGAGAAATAAATAACTGGTTGAAAGCTTCAGATATCGATGCCTTGTTTGGGTAAGTTGCGTGCATGTTTAGCGAAACCTAGGGAACCTAATTTAACATCCCAGGAGGGGGTAGTGTTTAATGTTTCTTTGCTTTCTGGCTTTCCTTACCTTGGGCTGACGGCTAATTGTTTAAATGACAGGATTTTAGTGTGTAAGAGGCATGTCAAGCAAAAGGCACAAAATTCTGAAATTGACAAGCATGTTGAAGACTGCAAGCTGTGAACCAGAGTTTTAGTGTGCTGGGTTCTTACAAAGAAAAAGAATGACATTAGAAAGTTTTAAGTGAAAAAATATTTATTGTAAGCTCAGAAAAGTGTACCAGCCGGCCCTCTTTGTCCTGAGATGGGGTAGGTCTTGGGACCTGTGGAATGTTTAGTGGTACAGGCATTTCACAAGGTCCACCAAAAGCTGGTATATAAGTCGCACCTTTGTATACGACGCACCACATTGCACGGTTCACGCGATGAGCTTTTTAGTTTTACGTGCACTGGTATCGCAAGATCGGAGTTTCGCACAATCGGCTACATCACACGTACCGTTTGACGCTCAACTTTGACGTTTTGACTCGCGAGAAATGCTCATAGCATGGCGCTGTCTGGTGGGTGCAGTCGAGAGTTTCGCAGCAAAAGGACATAAAAACTTGCCAAATGAGAAGGTAGTAGACGGTTTTTAAGCGTGCACATGCCGAGCGAACAAACGCTTAATGTGCTAGACTCTCCAGACACTCATGAACTAAGCTTTGGACCACTAGGCCTAGCCTAGGCTGTCATGGAGACGATGCGAGCATCGACGCGCATGCAGATGGATAAATATTCACACACTTCTTTCGGTGCCGCTAAAAGATTGGCTAGCTGCAATCCTTCCTTTTACACAGCAACACAGCTGGAGCCTGGCAGATGAAAACTGCTCATCAAACGAAAACTAAGATTCAAGAAAATTTTCTGCAGTGCGTGTATATTGCAGCCCACATACTTTTCAGTGTTACTGGACTGAAGCAAATGGATGGGGAACCATGGCTGAGCTAGGCAATATCAATAACATGCTGTAAAAGCTTTATTCATACTCTTGCCTATCCACATTGAGCCGCTTCGGGGAACCATAAACTTTCTTGCTTTCCGAGTCAGTTATGAAAAGTGTAGAAGAGGTAGAAGAGTGCGACAACAGCAGTGCCTCCTGGACTGGCAACAGTTGTGCTCCACAAGAAATGGTGCGTGGCATAAAAAAAAAAGTGTCTCATTCTGAATTTTAAAAAAAATGCACATAAGTCACATCGTTGTATAAAACGCACCAAGAAAAGTGTTTGAAAAAAACAAAAAAACACAACTTATATACCGGAAAACACGGTACTATGCACATTAAAGAAACTGGGCAGTAGTTTTCAGTGCTATGCTTACTTCTTTTTTTAAGAATTGGCATGACCCTCGCACCGCAGCAATCGGGGGTTACATGGTGTTGTTTTAGTGATGTCTGAAAAATAATGGTAAGATGTCTTGAAACCTATTCTGCATATCTTTTTGAAAACTCGTTTGGTTTCTTGTCTGCTCCTGTTGACATCTTTACATCTAAGTTTAATAGTAATGAAAACACACCCTCTTGAGTACTTATTATATCCCCCATAGTACTATTTGTCGCATCAAAGCTCAAGTCCTCTATACACTCCGTGCGACGCGACTGGCGCGCCGCTGCGCGGCCGGTACCGAAGGTAGGCAGTGAGAACCCCACAGAAAATGAAACCGAAGCCACGCCGCGTACGTTGGTAAGCGTTGAAGTCGGAGTGGTGCGATTGCGCTGGGTTCACAGCATGAAGTGCTGCCTGTGCTGCGTCATTAAGTGCTTCAATAGTTATGCGTCGTATCTCGTAGGGACAAAGTTTCAGTTTTTCACCTCGCCGATGTTTTGTAACAAATTTCTCGCGTACGACCCGAGAAATTTGGTCTCCCGATCATGTCTGCCACTGTGTCGGCACGGCTGACATATTCTACACTGCCGCTTTGCGCTCTGCGTTTGTTTTCGTACCAGTAACACCTACATCTGTCAGCGCCGATGGGACAGACTGAAATGCCATCCCACAATCGCGGGTATGCAGTGCCAATTTTGTTGTAGGAATGCCCTCCAAAGAAGTTTCGTCCCCATCGTACATGTCGAGGATATTTGCGGACAAGTATGGCACGCAATCTGTACTTCATGAAGAAAGATTCGAACGGTAAAAAAAGTGACAAATATAAATCTAAAGAAAACAACAATGAAACCCGGAATCACTGGAGAATCGACGTTTGAGTATGGAAGTTTATGTTGTGTGCTTTCTTTCTTGATCAGCCTCCTTTTGGATGTGGAAACGCTGACATCCCGAGTTCTGGAGACAACAATTTTTTTTCTCGGCTTTAGAGCCACCTATCGCAAAGTGGTTCGAACTGGAAGTACCGTCCACTGGTCCCTTCCTACCTGTAAAGTGTGCACCTCCCACGATGAGTGGTATTATCTGACAGCCCTTGACGGTCAAAGCCAGTTCCCATTTAGTTACGCCGCCCAAACTAAATTTCCACCTGGTTTCGCTATGCCAACTCTTTTTGTTATAATAAGTGTTGTGCCAAGTGACGGTCATGTCAAAGTACCTGTGCGCCGAAAATCAGCACCTCGCACAGCAGGTTATTACACAACAGCTGTCCGCAAAAGCCCTTGGCGGCCAAACCGTGTTTTGGCCGACAACTTTATTTTCTTGGCTTTGGAACCACCTTTCGTAAAGTTGTTTCAATTGGAAGTACAGTCCACTAGTCCCTTCCTGCCTCTAAAGTCTCCACCTCCCCCGACCAGTGGTATTCTCTTGACAGCCTTTTCATGGTCAAAACCGATCCCCATTGAGTTACGCCGCCCAAACCAAATTTCCACCTGGTTTCCCTATTTTTGGTATAAAAATTGCTGTGTCATGTTACTGTCAAGTCCAAGCACCTGTGTGCCCAAATCTGCACTTCGCACAGCACGGTTATAACACAACATTTTGGGTCCAATATTGGATATCCCGTACAGCTTTATTTCTTTATTCGTTAGAAACATAACTTTCATACCTGCTGTCTTAATGAAACTTGGCACACTTCGTGCACAAACTTAGTGAACATCTCACTCGCCTCCAAATATCATCGTTTCAGCAGTCCTACGTTTACAGTGACGAGCGAAATAAATTTCCCACTCAGAGCAATTAAGGTGGCGGCTGTCTTGTTTTTTGGAAAATTTCTCCAACACCTTTTTCGGCCGCAACTAGAGAAATTACCCCTAATAACGACTCAAACTCAATATATAAGAAGTGGAGAACAGCTAAATGCCCTTCTGCCCCAGCACTCATGCAACGTCACCCTCAACTTATCGGCTCAAAAAGCAAAAGCTTTGTCCGTGTGCGCTTCCGCCGCCACAGCTTGGCATGCGAAAAGGTGCTGCAGGCTGCTGAACGCGCCTCACAGTCGAACGCCAGCTCCTCCGCTAGCGGCGCTGCGCGCATTTTTCAAAGCGCCCCTTATAGTTCCCGCACGGAGTGTATAGCACCGTCTGTATTAACAAACAAACCATGCAAAAACTTGTTAAACCTATCGGCGATATCGTTTGGATTGGCCACAATTTATTGGATATGGAATCTGCTAGAGCTATGGTGCCTCAATGTTCTTCCGTTTAGGTTATGCCACTCTTTGTAACACCCACCGTCCGTAGGCAGCACACTTTCAGGAAGCAAATACGAAGGAATAGCTGGAAAATAAATCTTTCTGTAGCACAGTCAAGGCTAAGGGTTTGTGCTGCGAGAGACACCTTCACACGCTCCTCCAGAAGAAAGGAACGAGTATTGGGACGGAAATGGTTCGACATCGCCACCTTAAGCAAAGTAACATGCAGGCACTCTAGCTAGGCCACTAGATCGGCCAGCTGTGCCTAGAGTACCGACGCTCCATTCTCCAAACGTCTTGTGGGCACCGCCACCTTTCTCGCCTGGTGCAAAGCGAGTGCAATTGACGATAGTTACGATTCGAAATTGCGACTTTCTCGGCTTTAGGTACGATGTGAGGAAGCTCGGGTGACATTGTTTTGGTTTGTTGCAGACTGTTTTCATGTTCCTGGAGGAGGGAAAACTGTTTCCTGCCATTTCAGATTGCTGGTGACAATGTCGTTGAACAAAGATAATGTTGAAATGTCGTTACTCCGAAGCCCGCCCTTTTTAGTGGCTTTAGGATAGGACCATAGAGACGAGTAGCATGCATCATGGTTTGCAACATTTTTTTCTCTAAATTTTACATTTCAGGCACAATATTGGGACATGGTGAGAGGATCTTTGAGTCGCCTAGACTAAGCGTAGCTGGCGTGGTGCTGTAGGTTTATTTTTCCAACTAAGCCTATGGGGCATTGCGCTGTTCCAAGAATACAATATTTATGAAAGATGGCGAAAGGTAGTTTGGTAAACCTTGTTTCGAGCTTATTCTTGGTGCGCGTGATATTTAAATATAGGTTCGGCACAGACTTTCGGCTTGATAAGCTTGAGGATTAGTTTTTAAGTAAGGACATTCTTGTACAGTTGGAGTAAACCTCTACTTTGGATTGAAGAAGTGTGCTGCAATAAAGCATCGAGGCATTTCTTGTTGCATCAAGAGGGGTGGATGCAGAGATTGTTTGTTTCGAATGGCATGTGTTTAGCGGCTATGAGTTTTCTTTAAAATTGAGTTCTTCAGAACCAATCTTCTATACTCCATTTCACTTTAAGTGCAAGCGTAGCAGAAGCTACAAGAGTGAGCTCCGGGCTTCAAGTGTCCTTGCCAAGCACACGTGGTCATGTGGTGCAAGCATTGTTCAGGTCAACATTCTCGTGCTTTGCTCAAACAAAAAGTGAAACAAACCATCATCCAGATTCATGCTGACACTCGCAACTGCATAGAGCCTTGTGCTGAGAAGCTTGACGAAATCCTACTCCAGTGTTCCTGCCATGAAAAGGGAAGGAGTGGAGGATTGGGCGTTTAACCTTTCTACTAGTGTCTTTTCCAAGCAGAGCACATCTCTCTTGGTCCAGGTATGCAGCATTGGCCGACTTCTGCTCTCCTGTCAAGTTCCTCGACTGCGGCAGTGACGAGCTGTTTGTCGGGCGGGCGGGTTACCTGACTGGCCTCCTCTACCTCAACTCCAAGCTTGGCATTGAGGTGAGCACTATGGACATGCCCCCAGCAGCAAGGACATGTTTTCATGTTTCTAGGGATTTTGAGGGGCACTGGAGTTCCTGTTCCTGTGTGTACCACAGGGACATGTTCCTGTTCCTCTTTGTACCCCAGTGACATGTTGAGGATGCTGTGGGATTTTCACTGAATAACCTTTTCTCGTAACTCTACAGATTTCTTGTAGAACTAAATTCCTAGTAGTAGTTGCCATCCTCGATCAGTAGCATCTGTGACTGGAGTGTTTTCAATTCCTTAAAAATTCCATTTTTTAAAATTTTTCATTTACAGTAAAACCTCGTTATAACAAAACGGGATATAACAAACTAATGGATATAACAAAGCAGTCATAATTCCCCTTGCTTGCTAATAGTGGGAAGAAATGGACATTGGCTATAACAAACTAATGGTTATAACGAAATAATTACGACCGCTCCTTCAACTTTGTTATAACAAGGTTTTACTGTACTGCAAAATACTGAGCATCCGTTAATTCTACATTAAGCGCCCACCCCTCAATTTTGTAACATTTGGAAAATACACAAAGGACACATCTTTACATATTGTTGACCTAAGGAGCACCCATACCCCAGTTCTGCATGATTATCTTCAGATTTTGAGTAGGCACTTGCTTAGGATTTTACGTATGTTAAGCACATGAATGACTTCACTTGTGATGGCTTGAAGCTTCACTTGTTTTTTCTTATTGGTTCTGTTATTATTATTGCTATATTCTTTAAATTAGTTGTACTTTTTGTCATACTGTTTACTTTATAGTGCCTTAAATGGAATCTGAGAAACAATGAACCAGGAAAACCATGTTTTTTCAAATGCCTGGATCGAACTACCGTCATTCCTTTGGGTCTAGTTTCGGTATCTCAGTCTCTTGATAGCTTAAAGGGCTACCGACTTTCCCCTTAACGCTTTATTTTATTGCATGTCTTCATCAATTGCATGAAGACAGTTGCATCTCTTCATCAATTATTATTGGAATTCATAAAATATGTCCTTATAACGATTGCCGCCACTGCCTTTAGAATATGTACTTGGAGCTTGGAAGCATTGGTGACGAGGCATAGGCTGTTCTGGTTTTGTTTCTTTTCACTCTCAATATGGTGTCTGGCGGTTGTGGTGAGGTCATCGAGAGGGGCGACGACGATGGGGAAGACGGCAACAACTCGCATGAGTTGTTCCTTTTTCAGTGCTGGATAACCTCTCAAACTTCAAAAGAGCAATTGTCAATCGAGAAGTTTCGGTTATTCCTCGCATTGCCCGCCAAAGTCGGCAACGCGTCATTTTCTTTTTCATCCCTTCAAAAAATTAAGACGGCCAAACAAAGCATGCTGCGATTGACAGCGGTGGCTGTTGCGTCATCAAAAAACGTGCCTGAAGAGATTTGCTTTAGGAGAGAGGTTCGGCACTTTTCCTTTTGCGAGGCAGACTCGTACGTTGTGCAGACCTTAAAACTGCACGCGTCTTGGCCGGAGACCTCTTGGACCAAAACGAAGACGTGTTTAGATTGCACGCGCCCGGGGTCTCTCAGAAACCGCAACAACTTGTTGCACGAGTACCTGAAGGGGTTGTCTAGGATTGCCCTCTGAAATTTGGCAATCGCTTCGGAGTGATTTGAGTCCCACCACCTTTGTCGCTTTGCATCTGCCTCATTCTCTCGCAACTCGTCGTCTGCGGCCCGTGATTGATCCATTCTCTTTGCCTCTTTCTTAACATGCAGAGAACATTCAAGAACCCGGCAGTGGCAAGGTTGGAAGGGGTGGGAGGGAGGGAAGGAGGGAGGGAGGGGAGGGGGAGAGAAGGAGACAGATAGAGAGAGAGAGAGAGAGATAGAAAGCAAGTGCATGTCTCACCAGAGATATGGTTGTGCAAAGTGCGATGATTAGAGAAGAAAGTATTGGCGCGGTAGAACGCCGTCACTCTCCTGCCCTCGTTGTCACCCCTCTCCCATCGATGACGTGGATCACTGAGTCAAAACTGCTCAAATTGAAATTCTTTAATTTTCTATTTTTCGGAGAGGGGAGACGAATTTAGCATTTCGCAGAGAAGGCGCGCTAATGGCTTTTGCCGTAAGCTTACGCCGACTAATGTAGAATATTGCTCAAAGAAGTAACTCGGAACTGAAAAGTGACGCACGGTCCAACAAAGTAAAAGGTCACGTGGTAAGCGTGTTGCAAAATAACTGCAACTGGCCGGTTGTCAGGTATGTGTGCCCATGATCACCATTGTCGATCAGAGGGAAAGGGAGAAAGTTAGGTGATGACACTTACCGTTCGAAGTCGTCTATAAGGGGGACGATTGTACCATTTCCTTACCTATACGGTTAGAAACTGAGGGAGAGGAGGAGATGAAAGCGTGCAGAGACGTTAGAGCACCGAGCTCTAGTTGGGATGATTAGTGGGGAGACGCAAAGCTACTCACTTTTTAATAAACATGCCTAATGGGTCTTGCCAAAGGAGACCCAGCAACTTTTTTCATGTCTGGGATTTGTTTGAAAAAATTATATGTTAACAGATGAGGTTGATTTAGTGTTTGTTTATTTCGAAGGATCCGGCCACCGCTGCCCACATTGCCTTTTCTGGAGATTTTGTTGTTTAATTAAAACGCAACAGAATAAGGCTTTACAAATTTAATAAAAGCAATTCAATTATTTGTTTTAAGGAAACAAAGGAAAAAGTATTGTAGCTAACATCCAAATTCAAGTTGATTAAAAAAATAAAGAAATCTAAAAAAATCTTTTTTTTTTTTAGGGCTCTTATTTGGACTCAAAATCGCATCTTTCAGTGTTTGTATTTTATAGCAAATTCCATTGGTCGTTCAGCAGACCAAATCCGAATGGAATCGCCCTGCCTCCGGATCCCCAGTGGAACATGATCACTACTCCGGAATCAGTGGATGCCCTCCCGTCATTCACCTTTCCAGGAATTCCCTTCCCGCAGTCCCGGATCTCAAACACATGTTTTCGCAATCGCGGTTCTGACAACACGTGTTCAGCGCACGAGCGAAGTTAACCATGATGTGAAAGATATGTGTCGATAGCAATGAGCGTCAGCTTAGCCCACTTGCCTCTTCATTGGAATACTCGTGAACGGTGTCCAAGTATGTCTCAATTTTCGGCCTTGTCTAGAAAGGTCCGAAAAGGCAGTTGAATTCATTCTGGACATACAAGCAATCCTTGTCGTTGCTGCTACTCGAGCCGGTGCTCCTGGAGGAGCTGCTCGCAGAACTTGACGACGAACTGTCATCAAGCAGAAGCACTAGTAATTCCGGCTGCACTTCGCGAGCAGCCATTACGAATTCTTCCGAGGCCAGGTGCCCGGCAAGAAAGGAAGTCATGTGAGTGCGCTGAAGGCTGACCAGGGTGGCTTCCGGTCAAATCCGCCAAAATCGGCGGAGCGACTTTTCTTGGATCCGTATTGAGATCTGGAGTGGGAGCTGATCTAAAGCAATGAGTGGACCACATTCGTCTCGATTCCGGTCGCCCAGTGAAATAAGCGCGCTCCAGAAAAGTCGATTTCAGCAAGCTCCAAAACGACCAGTGGAATTCACCATTAGTGTAAATAGGGCATGTTATTTACTAATTAGGCACTCACCTAAAAGCATCTGGTACGCAACCATTTTTTGCAATGTTTTTCTTAACATGAATTTTATGCAAATCCCAAAAATTGAGAACATGATATCGGCAAAAATAAAATAAATTTTTTTCACGAAGAATAATTTTTTTAAAGTTCAGAGGCTGCTTTATTTCAATTATTTTTTGTACATATCCCAGACATGACCAAATTGCCGCGTCTCCCTTGGCATGGAATGACACGAACACCGACATCCAGCATTGGGTGTTTGCGTTTGAACAGTGATTAAGGACGAAGGCAGTTGGCTTTGCGTCTACCCACTAATAAGCAGTTTGGGTAAGTTACTTTTTAAAAAGTAATTCGTTACAGTTACTTTCAGAAAAAGTAGCGAAGTTACCGTTACAGTAACCGCAATGAAAAAGTAACTCGTTAGTCACATTTACTTTTAATAAGTAACGACGTTACTTTTCAGTTACTTTTCTATAACAAAAAAATAGGAAAAACTAGAAAACGCCCCTCACCAAGTTTTATTGCATAAAATTAAAACCTATACCTTTTACTTCATATTGTAACTTAGCAGAAGTTGCTTCTCGAAATTAGTGTTTGAAAATTTATACGCTAGAGTACTGGCGCTAATCAAAATACGAAACATGCGCAGTGCCCTCCGCGTGTATTGTTGTTTCACGGTTCATTCACCCGATCAAAAAGCGTTTTCACAGAAAAAAGAAAAACCACAACATATATAGTGCTTCAAGACAAGTGTTCTGTCACAAAGTACAAGTATGTGCGTATAGATTACTGGATTTTTTTTCATGAAATCTGCACATGGCTATATTTGGGTCGTGACTCGTGAGAAAGAATGTGTCCACAAGTTTGTGCAAGGCCAACTTGACACTCGAAATGTCAGAATAGACTATTTGAAAAGTGCATGGAATATCTAAATTGTACTCGTTCAGTGAAATATTATTCATAAAACACTAGAAAGTAACGACAAAAGTAACGTCGTTACTTTCATCGTTACCTCAAAAAAAGTAATAGAACTACAGTTACAAGTTACATTTTAAAAAAAGTAACTCGTTACAGTTAAAAGTGACCAAAAAAGTAACGAAATTACAGTAATGCGTTACTATTCAAGACTGCTAATAAGTACAGCCAAAACTCTGTGCACTGGTGTCCCCACACACTCTCCTCCTCTCCCTCGGGTTACACCTCTATTGCATTGATTCAACAAAAATTTCAAACCTGTTTTTTTTTTCCGAGAAAAACATTTTTTTTAATGGGTAGTATGCTAGTTTTCAACCTAAAATATTTAGGATGATGTCTAGCGATCATTTCCAGCTGTTTGCAACAATAAAACAATACTGATGTTGGGGTTGTGGCCCTTCAGATATGCCAGAGTGCAGA